AAACTAATAAACAAAATAATTTAATAAATTTATTAAGTTTAATAAGTTTAATAATTTAATAAATTTATTAAATTATTATGTTTATTAAGTTTGCTAAGTATATTAAGTTTAATAACTTATTAAGTTTATAAGTTATTAAGTTTGTTAAGTTTATTAAGTTTATGAAGTTTAATAATTTTATTAAGTTTAATAATTTTTTAAGTTTTTTTTAAAAAATATTATGTTTATTAATTTTATCAAATTTAAAATTATTAAATTAATAAATTGTATTACACTTAATAAGATTTATTAAACTTAATAAGATGTATTAAACTTAATAAATCATTAAGTTTATTAAGTTTGTTAAGTATATTAAGTTTAATAACTTATTAAGTTTATAAGTTATTAAGTTTGTTAAGTTTATTAAGTTTATGAAGTTTAATAATTTTATTAAGTTTAATAAATTTATTAAGTTTAACAAAAAAATATTAAGTTCATTAAGTTTATTAATTTTATTAAGTTTTAAAAAAAATATTATGTTTATTAAGTTTATTAATTTTATTAACTTTAATAATTAAAATCAATTAAGTTTATTAAGTTTCATAAATTACGGATTGACCTCATTAACTTAGCTTAAGAACAATTAAATTTGATTGTGATGTTGCCACCATAATATCATTTACTTCGTACATGTGGCATGTATTAACATATACTTCGTGTAGTTCTTGACACATTTTTATACATTGGATGGTTTCCACCATATTAGTGTAAACGTCGTGTAGCTGAGAAACTTTTTTCCAAATTAATATTGTAATTAAAATATATTTACAATTTCAAATGTTCATTCAAATTACAAATATTTTATATTATTATTAATTAAATGTCCCGCCCGTAGGGCGGGTTTTCCCTAGTATATATATATATACTGTTTTTATTGTTTAGGTCCTAACTCTTGATTCGATTCGTTATCCATTTTGGTTTAAACCAGAAAAATCCGGATTTCCATAACTCTACGGAGTAAATTAAATAATAAAACGTAATATTCGTGTAAGCGAATCAAATCATAAATATTAGTATTCTTAAGAACAAATATTCGATTCGATCCGTTATATGCATATATATATACATATATTTAAAGAATTATATATATAAGTTATATATTATATAAGTTTTACATTTTTTATGTATTAAATTTATTATATTAGGTATTAGAATTTAAAAAGTTAAATAGTGATTTATTTTCGTAATAAAATATTATTATTTTATTATTTTAGTTTTTTCATCTATTTTTTGTAAAAAAATATTTTATTTACCAAAATTGAAGTATCTAATGCTCTTGGAAATTGAAATATTCTTAATGCTTCTTTCACTATCGACTCAATTGTAGTGAAATGATTTGACTTAATTTTCTTTTTATTTTCCTTAACTATTATCTGTTTAGAAACTATAATATGAAATCATCGGTTCGACATAAGAACTATTTAAAATTAATATAGCAGGAAACCAAACAAATAATAATATTTTTTATTACCACTGGATAAACTAAAAACATATAACTTTTTAACCGAACAAACCAAAATAAATATTGATTTAGAAGAATAGTTATATTTTAGGAGATTAAAAACAAAACAAAAAAAAAACATAACACCGAACCGATATCCAGATTAAACAGTTTTAATATCTCTTTATTAAAATTAATAAAACTAATAATCATATTCCACGCAAGGTGTGAATTATTACCTAGTTTATATGTAAAGGAGACAGACATCAATATTTATTATTCATTTAATTATCATTTAATTAGTTAACATAAATTATTTCTCTAAACTGAAAAGGAAAAAACATTAGGGCCGAACAATCGGGCTCACGATCGGGTTTCGATTCGGGATTCAAGTTTTGAGTTTTAAGATTCATGAATTTCATTCCCATTTGAATGTTTTTAAAGCTTAGGTTGGATTCAGTTCAAGATTAATCGGTTTGGCTCAAGTTTAGTTACATGTTTAAGATTCAGTTGAACCTAAAATAGTTTCATATAGGATATTAATCAGATTATTGGTTCCAAAAATATTTATCTATATTCGATTAAATTCAATATATTTTTAGTGTATCAATAAATTTGTGAATTAAATTTTTCGAAAGATTTATTTATCAATGAGACATAAAAACATATCTTGATAAATAAAGATCTTGTACGAACGAGAATCATACATAATGAAGTATAAATAAATTAAAATTAACAATTAGCTATTCTATAAATATAAGAAATAATAATTAAACTTAAAATGTTTAAACATTAGAAAAGAAAACTTATTTGTAATTAAATTTCAAATGTTACTGTTAAAAATATAAAAAATTAATATCTGACCAAATCCGAAAGATATATATTAAACTAACTATTCATGTAATAAATAAATGTTTTAGGTACTTAGTAATATTTTAGTGTATTTTGGATATATAATAGATATTGAGATTGAGTTTGATATAGAAAATGTTTTTGAGAAATTGTCAGATTTTCCAAAACAATTTGAGTTCTGATTTGGTTTGGATAAAACTCATAACACGAAATACCATAGAACATAATGTATTCAGTATGTATATTGGCTTCAGATTTATTTTGGTTCAGATTCAACTTTTGCCCAATCTTAAAAAAATACATCAGTGGGAAAAAAAAGAAAAGAAAAAAAGAGAGCGAAATTGCATAATACGCATCATCAAGTAATCACCGCGTAACTAACTACCTCAACGCTCTCTCATTCTCCTTCTCCTCATTTTGAATCTCCCCAGATCTCATCTCACCAGCGACGAACAATGAAGCAGCTCCACAAGCAAATGAGCTCAAAGCGCGACGACGACACAATCCCCATGAGCCAATCCTCCCCTTACTCCCCCAAAGCCTTAAAACACCCCACCAGATCCCTCCCCAGATCGCTCCACTACCTCTTCCGCGAACAACGCCTCCTCTTCATCCTCGTCGGGATCTTGATCGGATCAACCTTCTTCATCCTCCAACCCTCCCTCTCCCGCCTCTCCCCCGCCGAATCCACCTCCCTCATCACCAGATCCGTCGTCTCCAACAACAACAACTACTCTCCTTCCAAGATGAGTTTCAACTACGGCGGAGGTAAGACCGGACGCGTCCCCGCCGCGATCGGGGGACGGAGGTTGAGGATCGTGGTGACAGGTGGAGCTGGATTCGTTGGGAGTCATCTGGTGGATAAGCTTATAGGGAGGGGAGATGAGGTGATTGTGATTGATAACTTCTTCACGGGGAGGAAGGAGAATTTGGTTCATTTGTTTTCGAATCCGAGGTTTGAGCTGATTCGTCACGATGTGGTGGAGCCGATCTTACTTGAGGTTGATCAGATTTATCATTTGGCTTGCCCTGCGTCGCCTGTTCATTATAAGTTTAATCCTGTGAAGACTATTATATCCTTTTTTGATTACTTCTATATATGTATTTGCTGCTAGGGATCGTGATTTCGAATCAATATAGTTTTAAATGTAGGCAACATTAGGCTGATTAGGTATGTTCGGTTTTAGGTTCTAGAGATATAGGAACGGTTTGGCTGGTTTTGAAACTCGGTTTTGGTTCGATTTTATGGATAATTTTGGTTAGTTTGGGTAAAAATTCTGGATAATTTGGATTTTTTCAGATAATTTATTGGTTATTCGGAATTTTCTGAATAAATATCGGATAATTCGGATAATTTAAAATATCTTGGATAAAAGGTATTCAGATAATTTTAAATATTTCGGATAAAAAATATTTGGATAATTTAGATTTTTGGATAATTCATTTTAGATATTTGTGAACATTAGTTTCTTTCTGTTTTTTTTCTTCTCTGGTTCGGTTTGGTTTTCGGTTTAAGAGACTTAAGGCTAAGCTTGATGATCACCACTCTTAGCATCCAGCTGATATAAGTAGTAAATTTTTTTTTGTTCTAGTTAGGTTCTCTCACAATTGTTATGATCATTTGTGATGAGATGCTTCCATTGGTTGACCTTAACGATATTTTCACAAGACTAATGTAATGGGGACTCTCAATATGTTGGGTCTTGCAAAGAGAGTTGGAGCAAGGTTTCTGCTCACCAGCACAAGTGAAGTCTATGGAGATCCTCTTGAGCATCCACAAAAGGAGACGTATTGGGGGAATGTGAACCCAATTGGTGAGTTTGAAAATTATGTGTTAGGCTCCTGAGTTTGTATAAATAAACGAGAGATTTATCACTGATTGCTTTTTATCTTGTTAAAGGTGAGAGGAGTTGTTATGATGAAGGAAAGCGTACTGCAGAAACGCTGGCCATGGATTATCACCGAGGTGCAGGTGTGGAGGTAAATTATCCCATAGATTGTACGCTTGCAAGCCTCTTAGCACAGTAGATGGAGAAATTTACATGATTATTGACATTTAATGATGCTGTTTATAGTTGTTACATTTGATGAATCTGTTTCTTACTTTTGTTGATAGGAGAATTTTGAATGTTAGAATATTTAGTACTGATGGATGTTTGCACACATCAAATGATATATGAGTGTTCTGTAACTTTTTTTTGGGTGCAATTTCAGGTTAGAATTGCTCGTATTTTCAACACTTACGGACCCCGGATGTGCCTCGATGATGGGCGTGTTGTTAGTAATTTCGTTGCCCAGGTTTAGCTCTTTTATCATCATTGAACACCTCCTTGTCTTTAAAGCCTTTACAAAACACTCTCATAGTACGATATTTTATATCTATGCAGACCATCCGCAAAAACCCAATGACTGTTTATGGTGATGGAAAACAAACTCGAAGCTTTCAATATGTTTCTGACTTGGTAAGTAGACAACCTCTGTTTTAGCTCATTCTTTTGTATGTTTGGTTTCTACAAACAGTGTAAAAGATTAGATTGCCTTCATATATAACAAGACATCTCTTTTTAGGTGGATGGACTTGTAGCATTAATGGAACACGATCATGTAGGACCTTTCAATCTTGGTAACCCAGGAGAATTCACCATGCTTGAGCTTGCAGAGGTTTGCTTTACCTCTCTATACTCTTCCTTTATCTTCAGTTTGGGATCATAATTAACAAGAAACTCTGGATTCTGGTATGAAATGGGAACACTTGTGTGTGTGTGAGCAGGTGGTTAAGGAGGTGATTGACCCGAGTGCAACCATAGAGTTCAGACCGAACACAGCGGATGATCCACACAAGAGGAAACCAGACATAAGCAAGGCAAAGGAGCTTCTGAACTGGGAACCAAAGATCTCTCTTCGTGATGGTCTCCCTCGTATGGTCAGTGACTTCCGTAACCGCATCTTGAACGAAGACGAAGGCAAAGGTCTCTAAGTTAGTCACGCAAAGATCTCCCTTCTTCTTGGCTATTCAAATATATGTATAGTCTCTTTTGCAAGAGCTCTGCTAATGTCTTTTTGATTCTTTTTCTTCTTCTTGTTTTTTTTCTGTGTTCTTTCGCCAAGACACAACTTACTACTTATATTAGCTAATATATTTTGTTGTCTGAAATGAATTTTGTATTTGGCAAGTTCATCAGTGCCCAGAGGCTCGATTTTAGTGAAAAAATTTAGTAAGATCTCTCTCGATCCATAAGAATCTTGTCTTTTTGTATACTTTTAAGACTTTCCTTCTTCCAGTTTCAATGTTCATTAGGAAAGACCCAACTGTTTGAGATGATGATTAGTGCTTTTTGTTCAGGGGACACATCACTTCATATGAAGAAATTGTTATTACACATTGCTTTTTATTGTTTTTCTTCTTCAAAAGTATATAACAGATAATATTATTTAACTTTCTAGAAGATTGCATCTACTACAAGCTCAGCTATGAGTTCATCCGTCAGCATTTCCTCAATCTCTCTACCTATGATTTCAATGTCATCTCCCAATCTCAGCCACTGCAACTCCTCCTCAACATCATCTTTGTTTGGTTTCTTCTGTTTTCTTGCCACCAAATCAAGCAGAGTCCCTTGTATCATGTCTGTATCCCATCTCTGGCAGACCCTTGTGGGCTTAACCCAAGGGTGTGGATCCGAAAACTGCTTTAGCATCTGCTCAAGCTCTCTGCTGATCTGATCAAAAAGGAACTTTCTATCTAAACGAGTTGAGGTTTTCACGGTGGAGTACTTCTTCTCAAGATCCTCAAACAAGGACGAATCTACAGGTGTCTCAATGACAGTGGTGTGGTCTGAGTCACTGAACTTGGAGTTGGCTAGGAGGTCAACTACGTATAGTGACTTCCAGTCTTCTTCTTTAACCTCCTCTCTGATCAAAGCCTCATCAGTTATTGCTGATGACTCCTCCTGATCTGTCTCTTCATCACTTGAAACGAGTATGCCACCTTCATTGTAAGCACCTGTCTCTAGTTTGAGGAGCTGTAGTTGCTTCCTGAGTCCTGGAAACATAGAGATAACGGTAAACACATCAATTCATATACTAAACGTATGAAAGAATCAATGAACCAACACAAGCCACTGATTGACTACCTTGGAGATCAGCGCTAACACTCTCAAAACATTCAGAACTCGATGAAACATCATCATCATCAAAAGAAGCTTCTAGAACTGAAACCGGACTTGGTTGATCTCCTTCCTTTGAGCTTTCACGAGACTGCGGCTCAGGAACTGAAGAATGATTTACATCCTCGCTTGGCATCCTTGAGATATCCTAGAAACATCAGTAAACCATTAAGATAGTGTATCATAAACACATAGACACATGATCTTGAAACATAATGGTCACACTTACAGGGTCAGTTAACGAGGTGACAGTTGACAAATCCGGAGCTTCAGAAGACATTATATCCTCCGAACCGGAACTATCCTCAGTGTCTGAATTTGCATCTACTGAGAAACTGTAACGTGCTTTAGAAGGAGAGAGCTTCTCTTTTTGATAAAGTACTTTGGTTAAACTTGGGCTAATGTTGACCTCTGGTGAACCATTGTATGATGAATGAGATTTATAACTACCATGTCTAGAAGAACTCCCCTTCACTAATCCATCTCGATAGTTCAACTCCTTAGGAAGCACTATGGTGTAACCATAGGTGCTTTCCTGGTCCATGATGGTTTTGGATTTTGAGAAACTTCTTGAAGATAATGATCCTTTCCAACCATCCCTACTGCTGATTCCGACCGGTTCTGGCGATTCGGACCAATGAATATTGCTGTCAACTCTTTTACTAATACCTTCTTCGAAAATGAGTCCATTAAAACTCGCTGGTCTTGCCTCTCTATCTGAAGTTGCAAGCATTTCAGCTAACGTGCCGTTTCTACGAATTTCTATCTCTTCCTCGTACTTGTGTGTCAGCTTCCATCTCTCTGAGAGTCTCCTCTTGGCTTCCCTGGTCACAGATGATGTTGAATGCAAAGATAGTTGGTAGTTCTTACGGTTGAAGGCGGTTCTTGTTCTTGAAGTGATGGGTACTAGCTCTGATTCACTTGGAGAATCACTCCCTGATGAGCTTTCATCACCTGCATAGCCTCTGAATCTTGGAGTCTCAAAGCTCATGGCACTACTATCACTACCCTGGCTCGCCTTCCTTGGCCTGGACATTTCTCTAGAACTATGTCTTGAGAGATTGCTTTTCTGCCTGACATGATTTATGGTGCATGGAAGCCTACGATCTGCTCTGAACTCATCAGAAGAAGAGCTTGGCGATGCAAAAGCTCTACTAGCATAACGTGGCTCACCAAGTTTAGGCTTTAGAACAACAATCTTGGTTGGCTGAAACTCACTTCTCTTTCCCAGCTCCTCATATGGTGAATCATGTGCGTCATAAGAAGCATGTCTTGTATGAGAATAGCTATGACAACCACCACCACCATGCCTATGAGGCGACCTTGGACTCTTCCATAACAAGTCCTTATCAACTTTCTGAGTTTTCAGACTATCCACACGCCTTTGGCTGTTTGGTGACTTCTTGTGAGGTGTTGTGTTTTGAAGATCATGCAGATGTTTAGTGAATAATGAGTCTGGTTGCTGAAGAAACTTGAGTAAAAGGTCTTTGTTAGAGTCTAGAGCCTCAAGCGCATCATTAAACTCTTTAGAATGACGAAGTTTCTCATCAGTTGATAACCTCTTAGCCTCCATGAACTTCTGTTTTATAAAAGCCATCTCTGCCTGGGTGAGATTAGCAGCCTGAAGAGACAACTTTCTATTGCTTGCTGCCTTCTTTACTTCGAAAACATCTTTGAACTTTTGCTCACCAGTCTTTGAGCTCTTTGTTGGAGATTTATAAGAAGTGACTTCACCACTCCTACCTTGCTTCTGATTCTCCACAGACTTGTGTTGTTGCCTATGAGAAGAACTCTGAGGCGATGGCAAGACGTCAAGACCCATGAGTCTTGCTATAATGCTTGGTGATCTCTTTTTAGATTCTTTCTGCTTTGACATTTCTTGTGCTAACAAACTCTTCATTGGTAATCCAGTACTTTCTTGCTGCAACAACAATAAAGTCCAAGAAAGTCATTTTCAAAACAAGAACTGGAACCAAAAAGTGTTTTAAGCATCTTAAAAGAGTATACATACCTTGTCTTGACTTAGAGCTTCACAATGGCAAGAAGATGACTTTGGAGACTTGAGTTTATGACTCTGTTTTTTCCCTGACAAAAAGAAAAATCCAATAATGAGAAGAAGAAGAAGATGGCTTTTGAGGGTGTTGTCAATTGATAAAAGCAATCAACTTTAACTTTACAACGGAAGAAATATCAAAACTTGGGAGACAAAAAGAGTGATTTGTAGCATAAAATGTGGGGGAAGAGGAACATAATAAAGCAAGCAAGGAGGTTAAGGGCACTCTCATTACATGTAATTAACATCATAACCAAACAATGTTGAAAAGAAAATTGAAATAAACAAACAAACAAAATCATGACACTACCCAGCAACAAACATTTCAGTATATTTTTATTTTTGTTTGCTTTAACATTTATTAAAAGCAAGCTATCTGACTCATCTTCTCTACAACACTGCCTTTAACTGTAGTTTTTTCACAAGAAAACAAATTAACATGTTTTTGTTTTTATCCCTTAAACTTTTTTACAAAAATTAATAAACTTGTGAAAATGTTCTAAATTAATTAATTAAAAAAAATTAGCAGTAGTAGTAACCAATCAGGGCAGTGATATGCAGAGATTCTCGAACAAGCCGACCAAGAAGGAAACAAAACAAACATCAAGAAGATGCTATGTTTGGTTGCCCAGATACAAAAGCTTTACTAAACTATTTTTTTTAAAAAAAAATTGAGAGTGAGAGAGAGAGAGTAACCATGGCGAGAAGTGTGTACTTTCGTATCTCGGGAACTCGGCTCGGTTAATCGAAATATGTTCATCTTTTCACTCACTCGAAATCAGAAGGAGAATTCTCAGGGAAGAACGTTTCAGGGAGCTTGTAGAGAAGAAACACTAAGAGACTATGAATCTAGAAGAAAGAAAGAGAGAAGAAGACGCAGGAGAAAGAGAGGAAGGCTTCTTGGGAGTGTTATTTGAAAGTTCAAAAATGTCAATATGAGAAAATAATAAAGGTTAAAAATAAAATATAGTTTTTGTTTTCTTGAATAAAAAGAGAGGGGGGGGAAGTGTGAATGGTGCGTGTTTGGTACTACTTACTGAGTTCTGTGCATCCGTGAATTCCTGCCACTTGTCTCTTTTCTTTGATTTTATCTGTTTAATACAACAACAATCGACAAATTGGTGAATAATCTAACCAAATTAATATTAGTACTCCCAAGTTTGGTGATTGTTTACGTCCTCAATCTTTGATTAGAGAAAACGACATTTTCTGAAAGAAAAGATGTTTAATTTATTTAGGTGAATCAATTTAGGGTCACTTTACATAATTTAAAATGCTGATTACAATAGAAAAAAAATGGTTTAGGTGCATATGTACATTACATGATAAATTGGTGAATCAGTTTACATAGTTGTACACTTTCTGAAAAGGAAAAGAAAAGAAACGTACAAGAAGGATACAAAAGAAGAAGGGGAGATACTATTTATGATACTATCTATTACAATTATCCATTAGCAATTGTTTTGATGGTTTTTATTCTAACGAAACTCCACACATTTAGACTGAAATGTCACGGTAGATATTCACTTTTAAAATATTTATAAAGGCTATTAATTACTACCTTCGTCTCTGGTATTCCCTTGTTAATCTCTTTTCTTCGGATGTTAAGGCTTTTAATCATAATACATCTTTTTACCCTGATCACATGCAGATATCTCTATTTTTTGTAGAAGCTTGTCAACTTAAGATGGTAAACTATTGCATGGATGATAAACTATTTACGATGTTTTCGGTCTTTGATTCAAAAATATTCCAGAATTGTCCTTGGGTCATAATGAAAGAGTAAGAAACATTTCTTTTTTTTTTTTCTTTCTCAAAGAAAGAAATGTTTTTGGACTATGTATTTCGGTTAAAGCTCAATCAATAGTTCGATTCCTACTTTAATCAATGACATATTATAATGTTTAGGCTACCTCATCGATAGTCCTATATCTAGAAGTATTCCTCCAAAAGATTAGGTTAGGCAGAATTGAAATTTATTGAGAGAATTAGCCAAATATTCATAAAAGAGACTCAAATTAGTGATTTGCATATTAACATTAAAACAATTTTTAAAAAATTTGTTTACTATTGGACAAAAATATCTTTTTTTCAACTGACATATTTTTTTACTGGTTATAGAAAAGTCAAAGTCCTATTACCTATACCTACTTAACTTTTTTCCACATGTTTACTAGATTTTTCTAAATGCTAAAAATATTATCAACTAATAATATGTTTGAGAATATAATTTAAAATATTATAATAGATAAAATAATTTAACATTTGATATGATTGAAAAATTACAATTGATTGCAAGATCTCAACATCTCTAAACTCTACAGTTTGTTACAAATTTGATATTAGTGTTAAATTAATTGTTAGCGATTAACTCATTTGTTAACTGATACATATTTTGTTACCTGATAAATTTACTCAGTTTGATAGAGAAATTGAAACTTCAACTATATTTATTTGTTAACATATAATACCTAATGCATGTATTGACATCAACAAATTTGTTAACAGCTAACACATCTGTTAACAATTATGGTACAAGTATTTGTTAACGGATAAGACATATGTTGACATCTACAAAATATGTTAGTAAGTTAATAAAATTTGTAACAAGATATAAAATTTGAAACAAGATATAGAAAATAATAATTTGAAAACCCCAAGATAAAAAATATTTCATCAGGCACAAAAAAACAAAAAAAAAAATAGAAGAGAGATTGACAAAAAAAAAGATGATGAGAGAATTTAAGAGTGAAAAAAATGGAATCGAAGGAAAGAGAAAGAGAGATTATCATTTTTACGGCTGTGAAAAAATGTCAGAAGAGAGAATGTCAGGAGAGAGAGAGTAAATGTCAGGAAATAGAATGCGAGTAGTAGGGTCTACGAGAATAGTAGAGTTTACGAGAATAGGATGAAATAGATGGAGCGGCATTTTCGTCAATGAATTAGAAAATGTCAAATCGTGTGTAGAACGTAAAATAAAGGGTCGAAATAGGATATAGAAGCAAATAATCTCAAATTTATTCAACTATTATGTTCTTTTATGTTTTTTTTTTTTTGTAAAACATGTTCCTTTATCTTCTTAAATCAATGGTCACATTTAACATGTATTAAAACAGTGACAAAATAATAATTTTGTAAGTCTTAGTTAAGGATTAGCTAGTTCTTGAGCTCACCAAATATGACTAGCTAGATAAACGACAGAAATTCTTACAGCCTTCGCTTTCAAAGTAATTAATTTGACACATTGCTCAAAATAGGTTGAACCATTTTCCTCAAAAAAAACCGTTAAGCGTTAACTTAGTTGTATTGAATTTAAGGTTAAACTGACTGTACCGTACCACCTACTATAGTATTGGTGTTTAATCGTCTGATGTCAATACGAAATGTTGTTTTGTTTTTTGTGCTAGTAGCATTCACTATTCACAGTGGCATGTGTCCCAAAAATTTAAGTAATCAGTTAAATTTTGATTTGCTTTAAGTAATAAGGTCAGACATTTAAAGTTTTGTAAATAGTTAGCTTACATTATAGAGTGAATTTGTTGAAAATCCTATAAGAAGTTATTAATTAACAAAATACACAAACCTAAAAATTGTGGGGATGAGTTCTGTTTAGCAATTACGAAAGTAGCCCCAAACCATTTTATTCTCCAATATTTGGGTAGACCATTTATAGGTATTAAGCTAGAAAGAGTTTAGTTTTAATTGGGGGGTTGGTATTCGCGTGCGCATTAGCATGCTAATTGTTTAAACTTATACATGCAAATTTAAAATTTAGCACGGCTAATGAGTAGCTGATTAAACTCATAACCAAAAAAACATAATTTAATGGTTTCAGAAAGATATTTAGTTGAGTATTTGATTCTGTTTATCTTGCTAATGTAGTTTGTATATATGTACCTGAAATATTTAGCACAGGTAATAATTAACTGATTATGTACAAATAATACAATAAATTATCAGGTTTTGAAGACAATTTGGTATTGGCGTGCGCGTTAGCATGCTAATTGTTAAAACCTACACATACAAGTTACGACGGCATTTTATTTATGTCTAATTGGGTTTTAACATCCTAAAACTTAATGGATTTTGGAGCCCAAATTATTTGAAGACAATTNCTAACATGCGTTATCATTGATTGTTTACAAATGCAAATATTCTGTCGAACACAATAGCTTAGGTAGCGTGTGTAGATAGTTAACAGAAGAAAATAAGAAAGAGAGAGAATAACTTGTCGATACAAACAAAGCTTTATCTTGTATAGGGGTACAATGGTAAACAGAGCACTACACACTCTTACTAAAGGACAAAAATAGGATAGATAGCTAATTTGTTGATCTTCCTAATGTGTAGAGTGCAAATACTCTACATTATATTGAAATCCTCTGAGTAACACAAATTTCACGATAAATGTCTACTACACAAAAAAAAAAAGTTAGATCGGCTATTGACCATGCATGTTGCGTGTACTATTGAAGAACGTTAACATTGACAATGTACCATCAAAATATTTTTCATATATTTCCCTTGATTTGTGGGTTTTATAGACGTTGATGTATCATATTATATGATATCTGATCACATATATGCCTGTCTACACATAAAATCATTACGTTTATGATAGTTTTTACGATAAATGAAAAAAAAAAGTTTTTTTTTTGGTTATTTGGACATTTTAGACTTATGAGGACAAAAATAATTAAACGTTTTCTCCTGACTACTAGTGCAGTAAATTTGGATTGTTTCCAAAACTACAAAGAAAGGATTGTGAGAGGATTATCTTGTCTATGGGTTCTCAAAAAAAAATTTTCTTTTGAGAGAAAATTCCAAAAATGGTAGTATTGCTTTTTTGTTACATAAAGAAAACAAAATGTAATCTTCATGAAAATTGTCGTCAGAATATCCGTTAGAAATATGAAGTTTGAGATTTAAAAGGGGTTTAAGTAGTAAAGTAGATATGAGTGACTGGGCATGTTTTAGGATTCGACATATATAATGAACCCCGATTAGCAGCTTGCATTTGATTAAGTAATGAATAAACATATTTTAGAAAAACGCTGTTGAATGTTTTTTTTTTTTTTTTTTTTTTTTAATTCTACTCTTTATTTATTTATAAACAACCAATACAAAATCTGGCCAGGCCCAAAACGAGCCCAAACCTTACCAACCCTCCCTACCAACAATAAAAAAAACGCAGAAACAATCTGCAGCTATTCTCTACCCTGCAAAATAATTAAGCCAAACCGCTAAAACAGAGAAGTGACCAGGCAGCACAACCTGTCTTCTCGCAAGCGGATCCAACCTGAGTCTGATTAACTGTTGAATCTCTGCAATAATAGTACTTGGAGGCTTTTCCACACCAGTGTGAACTCTCTTGTTTCTTTCCTTCCAGAGTAAGTAAATAACCGCTTGGTGAACAAGTCTAATGATCAGAGTCACATTACTATCTCTTGAAGGAGCAACCAGCCATCTCAACATATCCTCAAAACCTGTCGGAGGAGACATCCGTAACCGAGTCACAAAGAAGCTCCAAACCTGTGTGCTATACGAACAGTCAAAGAATAGATGTTGTCTATTCTCGACGTTGCCCGCGCACAAAACACAACTCGAAGGAACCGACAAACCCCAACGCTGTTGAATGTTGACAAAAACCATGTTTAGACTTTAGAGTATAGGTAGTACAGCTGCATGGAAAAAAGTAAGATTCTTGTTTGTAACTAGTACTGATAAGTCAATAAAGTATCAATAAATAACCACGTTACTTGTAACCAATTCTAACCTGTATTTAATTATGACAAAAAAATTCAAGCGTGGAAAGAAAAACCAAAAACGGTAAGGCAAGGAAATTGAATAAAGCAGATTCCTTGACCTATGTCTATGTGCTATACAAAACTCAAAAAAAAA